CCGTAGTGAAGACGTAGCCTAAGATCTGCTCTCTTTCTGTAGTAAGAGTCGTGCCTGCTAACTTTGGCCCCAATCATGCAAACACTCACATGAGTAACCTTACTCACCCCAGGAGTCCCGTTCCAATCAATCGGACTACTCACACCAGCAGAAGTGACTGCAGGATTGGGGCCTAAAATACATTTTTTGCTGCTTTTTATACCTTTTAACCCTCCAGAGCAACACAGCTAAGACAGCATGAGCTGGATTCAATTCCTCCATGTGCATCAGCAACAGAACTGTTTACTAAATTCCAATCAGTTACATCTGAAGGCAATGGGACCACATAGGTGTCACTGAGGACATAATTTAGCCTGCCAAACCTTTATTACTGGCGATGATGCAGAAGAAAGATCACGGCTTGAATCTCAAAGCCCAGGCTGAGTTTGAGCAGCTGGCAGAAGACACTTCCCCCCATCTAATTACTTATAATTAAGCAGATTTGCTCAGGAATCACTGAAAAAATGCAAAATGAGGAGCCCCAGAATGCCATTTTTACAATCATTTTTCTGAGTAGACCCATATCTGCAGTTATTAGAGTTTGCCTTAAACAAACATGCATCTATTTCACATCTTTTTAAACTGAGTTTTTAAAGCAATCCAACAAGATTCCCTTTGTTGTCAGTTTCAGCTTGGAGTGGCATTTTTAAGCAAAAAAAATGTAAGCTCCCAAAATAATTAAGACAAGTGTCTTTATCAACACCAACTTTATCAAGACCAACTAGATACCAGGGCAAGATCTAAATGAATTAAGGCCTTGATCCTGCAACAACTTACACACATGCTTAACTTTATACACCTGAGTAGTTCCATTGCCTTCAATGACAATTCACAGGGCCTGATCCAAAACCCATTGAAATTAATGGGAGTATGTCCATTAGTTTCAATTGCCTTTGGATCTAGTCCGCAGTCCTTAAAGTTAAGCACATACATCAATCTTTGCAGGAGCAGGGCCCTAAGTGGCTATTTCTTCCCCAGTCACAGTCTCTTACTGTCACGCCTCTGACAAACTGAACACGTGCCCACCCTCCCCCACAAGCAACTAAAAACACACCAGAAGTAATAACACATTATTTAAAAATTAGAACTATATTTAGTCAATTGGTTAGAGTACAAACACTTTATACAACACAGTTAAATAAATGACTCCATAAATCCAATCTGTTAACACATGAGATGAGGGCAAATATACAGCTGCCGTTCCTGAATAGCCCAGCCCCTCATTCATCCACCGTGCAGATGCTGTCCAGGCACACATCTTACTGCCAGCTGTTTTGCAGGAGCAATATACATGGAAACATTTTGTGTTTTCAAACCATTTGTCCTAGTTTCTCAGTGAATTCTAAAGAAAAATCACGGCAATTTCAACTTTTATCCAAGGCATCTCCATTCTCTCTCCTCCTCCCAAGAGACGTGTAATGCAGGAAACGATGCTAAAAACAGGCATAAAAAACACAGTCACCTAACGGAATGCTAATGTGTGTCAATATCGCAGGCTGGAATTTGTAAAGAAGCCTAAGGTAGGAAGATAGACCTCCAGCACTCATGGAATTGCAATGGGATTTAGGCACCTAACTCCTTTCAGCGCCTTTGAAAAGCCCCGCCCAGTATTGCGCTGGAGAGAAAACTTTTTAACCTGTGTCCCAGTCTGGCTCCCATTTGAGCAGGAGCAAGCCCCTAATCTCCAGCTGTATAAACCTGGCCCTGATCCTGCAGGCTGACCTGGACCCTGTGTCTGTGTGGAGCCCCACTGAGGTCAGTGGGGAGTCCGGATAGGCACAGGGGTCTGCCCAGTGGGCAGGATCAGGACCTGGCAGCACTCCCTGAAAATGGCAGCTGTTTCCGAGTCCGTCCGATCACCAGAGAAGCCGTTGGTATATTACACTCTCCCTTTCATTTCCAATGTGTGTGGGCACTGGGTTTTGGCAACTGTGCACTAGTTTCTACTATGCTTTTTTCATATTAAATACGCTAGGAAGAGGCCGACATCCTGGCAGAATTCTACAGTAAATGAAGGTCCATCTCCAAAAATAAAATCATCCTCCAAAGAATCCCCCCCCACCCTGAGTACCCTGGAGATCAGATGACTTTCAAGGTGGTGAGACCTTCAGGAACCCTCTAAAACACTGGCATAAGACATGTCAAATCTAGGTGCCCCTCTGAAATCCAACAGTGCTGGACATGTTTACGGAAAGGAATTATAAAGATAATAAATCCTTCCTCTCAATAATTATTCATCTATTGCTTATCCTAATCATACACACACTTCACAGTACCTTGTAAATGTCACGTGAGTGAGGGCATGATCCAAAGCCCATTGAAATCAATGGGAGTCTTTCCATTAACTTTGATGGGCTGAGGATCAAGCCCTGGCTGTGGAGGTCTACAAGAAGCAATCTTAACAGAGCTTTTTCAGAACAACCGGGAGTCCTCTTTTCCCCATAAAAGAGATGTTACATGCTCATTGTTCAGGGACTAGCAACCCCTGTTAGACAAAACACAGCCGTGGGCATTATCTTGACCAGCCCTTATACCATCTTTGAAGAGCAAGGAAACAATCTGTATTTAACTATAAGCCAGACAAGCTCAACATCTTGTTGTCAAAAGGGAGCCAGAAGATTTTTCATCAACATTTTCCGTTTGCTATTTAATCCTACTCAGTCGTGCGTTTTGCTATAGCTCCTCACATGGCTCTTGGCTCACAACTGGGCTTGATGCACGTTTTTGCTTCCTGCCCACCTTTTGGGGTGGCATGGACAGGAGACAATATCTTTAATCTTTGTCCTGAGCAACGGAAAAGCTTAATCTACTCACGCAGAGTCTCTATTCCCTCTACAGGGAATAGAACATACCCAAGATTAAACTAACTGGAGAACAAACCTTTGTCTAGAAGAGGTATTGGAATCTATGCGGATATAAATGCATCTGATGGTGAAGACAGCAAGATACTTGTTGGCTTGGAGCTAAAAATCACCGTGCAACTCACACAGAGCAGAAATGCCACATGTGGTTTTGAGAGTGGTCATCGTCGCTCAATGAAGAGTGGACAGCACAAACCACCATTATTCCTAATGGGGTTATCGGCACAAGCCAACCAAAGCAAGACCCAAGCTTCTCTTCCTTTCTAAGAGACAGAAACACGCCTGTTTCTAGGCAGCTTCTTATTCCCTTTGTTCTCCAGTTCGAACGCCAGCTGGGATGGAAACAGAAGGTGTTAAGCCTTCTGCTCATGTCCCACCTGAAGTTACAATTACGAGAGGGACAACAGTTATTTGCCCAGCAAATCGCCAGGACGTTATAACTGGTTACCGGTGAAAAAGTAGAAGCAAGAGCAGATTAACTCCGAAATCCTGTTTTCATGCCACCATCCTTAGCAATAATGAAGGGAAAAATATATGCAGGTGGATGAGACTCCATAATATACCAGACCATAATGAGATCGTGGATTTAAGGGGCCAAAGCAGCAGAGCAAATCTTTGCCTAGAGGATGATGGTACCAGAATCCCACAGCACATTTCTCCGGGGACTTTTTAACAGAGTGTGGCTCAGACTTTGAGGTCTGATGTTTTTAAAGCCAGTAGAACAGCTAGTGTGATAGAGGCAGCAGACTTTCATAGTTGGACATTTCAGTGATTTAACTTGAAAATTAGATTTCTCTTTTTAAAAAAAAGTACGTTTACATGGTGACAGGAATTATTTTGAAAAACGTAAACATTCCCCCCTCCCTGCACATAGTTCATACACTGGGAACTTTCAGAGCTTGTTGGAATTGTATCCTGGTGGCAAGAGATGACAAACCAGCAAGTCACCATTTAAATTATATAGAGCTTTGACTAATTATGAGGTCTCTGGTTTTGCCAGTTTAATGGCCTGGGGATGCTTGTGAGAACTTTTCCTGGGTGACGCTGACCACTGCAAAATGCTGCGGTGGTCAATAGGATTTTGAGTTCTACACTTTGTGTTAACTTTGGGGCAGGAAACTAAGAAAAGGGAAAACATCGCCGGGCCGGATTTTGACTGCGTCACCTAGGCTGAGTATCATCTGAACTCCATGAATGGTTCCATTGACTTCAGTGACGTTAAATACTATTCACCAGGAGAAAAGGGACCAGAAGCTAGGCCCAGATCTACAAAGGTATTTAGGCACCTAACTCCCATTGATTTCACTGGCAGCTCTTTGAAGATACGGTAGAACCGCATGACCACACAGGAGAGGGAATGGATAAGGGCCCATCCAATAAGCAGGCCAAGAAAAGAACTTTGACGGAAAGGAACGTCTACAACATGACGGCAGGAGCAGTTGTCGAACAGACGGCTCCTTACGGATGGGAAAGTTGGACACAGGAAGACCAAGGATGGAGGCTCTGGAACTGTCGCACTTGCTGAATCCTGACTCACACAGACACTCACGAAGCGGAGACTGGGACAAAGCAGAGGAGGTGTGTCTGTCGCTAGACAAGAGCTCAAAAAGATAAAGGGGCACTGTCAAGTAGTCCAAGTTCCAAAATTTGACCTACCTTAAAGATCAGTACCGGCCAGAAGGAAGTTCTCTCTTTTTATGCAGAATTCTTTCCTCTTAAATCCACTTTGTTGCTGAATTATTTTTTTTTTTAGGCTACTTCCTAGTTTCACCAAACCCAGGCAAAAAGATAGATCATCCACAGTGCTGCTCCTGCAGCAGCCGATCAGGACAGGTCTAGCCCTGTGCGGACACTGACAAGGCCAGGAAGTGGGGAGGATGGAAGTCACGTTTGCCTCTGCAGGATTAGAAAAGACGAGCGAGGGGGGAGGAAAAGGCTCAGTATTTTGACAAATGGAAGACAACGATCGGTAGGCAAAGAGCGGTTTATTTCTGGAGCTTCTCTGAGGGTATTACAAATAAGGGAGTGTAAAAAGAAAATTAAAACGAAAAAAGTAGTCAACAGTGCCCCTTTGAAGACAGGCGATTGAGGATGTATCAAGCAGGGGGTAGGGCGCACATGGTGGAAAGGACAAGCAGAGGGAGGGCGTTGGGAGAAAGGTGAGTGATGAGACGGAGGCTGGGATGCAGCAGGAAGCCACTGTTCTATGCAATTGGCCTATTGTAACTGAAAACAGACCTCTTTCTAGGCGGCTTCTGTAGCACCCTGTATGGATGGCACATCAAGTTCCTTTCCTTGGTGAAACTGTTTCTCAGGGCCAGGCCATTTTAACAAGGTGATGTTAAGCATAAAGGGAGGCCTAGGTTGGATTTAAACATGATGGGAGTCAGGTTAACGTAGCTACCAGGCTGTCCCATCGACACTACAAGGACTGCAATGCTGGGGTACCCAGTTACAACACAGCAGCGCCATGGCACGTTTGTGCTGTGCCTGTGCAGGTGGGACCACGTTCTAACAGGCGTGACTGACGCGGGCTACAGCCTGACCCAGCCAACGGTTTAATTCTAGGTACACAGGCAAGTCTGAAGCATATTTTAACTGTGTGGAGGGAACTAGCATATTGCAGGTGGGTCTCCAACACAGTGAAGGTATCAGTTAGTCCTCAAATGAGGTCTCTCTTTTCCTCGTCCCCATCAGGTGAGCCGACTGGAGGCCAAGAGGCAACAAATGCACCTTGCTTATTTCAATTCCTTCCTGTAAAGTTCTTTGCTGGATCAGAGGGCATCGGGCGCTCATTTGCCCTCACTCTTGAACGAGTTCACTGTGCTCTTACCACGTCGATGCATTTCATCCTCTAGCCTGGAAACTGGGGTTCATGCTGGCTTTCAACTCGGGGTTCATGCTTTATCCCCGACACACAGTCCTGGGCTGATAGGAACTACAGCTAAAACCTAACTGAGCACCAAAGAGTGACCGTTTTCCTTGTGACCCCCAGAAGGTAGCTGCTCTTCCTGGAACAAAGGGCCAAGATACTAAAGGGATGGGCCCAGGGTTAATACATAGAGATAGATCGATTGCCTCTGGGGAAGGCTTACTGAAGACATCCCCAGGGACCCTTCCCCATCAGCTCCATGGCCCTGAAAAACCAAGCAGAGCTAGCATGTATTCCTGGGAACACGCTCACAACTAGGAGGCTGGTAAGTGGGGAGTGGCAGAAGCCACAACACGTTAAAGGCAGAGAGTCCATTTTAACATTCCACCTGCATATTTTTTCCCCTTAAGCAAATCCCTCAGCTGCACACTTAGTGCCCAGCGCTGCCCTAGATACACAGACCCACACGTGGAAACAGATAATAAATACAGAGTTTATATACACACGCACACATACATAGCACCACTTCTATAAGGCTTAGAAGATACTAAACGTACATTACAGGGAGGTGCTTGTTATAAAGAGGTATTTATAATGAGCTTCCAAAGAGCCAGGAGACAAAACATACAGCAGATAGCCTTATATCAGAGGTAGCCTTACAACAGACAGCTTCAGTACCAAGGCGCTGGATAAAAACGATGCAAGGGGAGCTGGAGGCAGAGAGGACGGCCCGAGAAAAGAAATGACAAAGTAGAATTGGAGTCCTGCTGGGATTTTAAAAAGTAGCTTCAAGCGTCTGGGTTTGTTAATTTCAAGCTCAAGCTCACTGGCTCGGAAATGCTGCCTGCCCAGTGTGGAGACACAGCTGGGATAAACACTTGACGACTGAGCAGGTGAGGAGTTGGCTGCCGTGACAAGGACGTGCCCACCCGGCCGAGAGAGATCTCTTCCTTAACCGAGGGTGTCAGGAAACGCAAGTGGCACCACTACTGCTAGCAGGAAGGCGGTTTGATATGAGCGGGGGTTAGAGGGACGGAAGGAGCGGGGAGAAAGCCCTGGTTTACTCCACCAGCCGGTTCGATTCACTACCCAAATGGAGGTGTAGCTCGAGGCAGTGGCCGAGGAGGAAGTCAGAAGCACTCCACGGAGCAGTCACTAAAGAGGAAGCATTGTGAGCACTGCTGGTTCTGCCCAGGGGTCCTTGGGGGGCGGGGGGGAGATAGACAGAAGGAGGGCTCAGTAGTCCCCACAGAGAACTGTGAGGATAAGGAGTCTACTGTGTTTAGGATTAATGAGAATGCCCCCAGCCCTCCTGAGCAGGGGAGAGGCTCAGAGGACTGAAGTCACCCATTGTCTGTGTACAGGGCAGGGGTGTTGGTGCAGACACGGGGGCTATCTCCTTATCCTTTTTTAAATCCAGCTGAGATCTCCAGGCAGCCAGACCTTGAACTATAGTTGCAAAGGCCTCCCTTGATTAGGACATCTCTTGAGAGACCCCACCCTGTACCACGTCCTTCTCAGCTGGGGTAGGGAAGGAGAAAGCGTTTGCGCCTTTCCTGGCTCTGCCATTCCTTCAGAGGCGTGGGGGGGGGGGGAGGAGGAGGAAAATGGGAAACTAGCTAAAAGTGGCAGCCAGTCTCACCCTCTGCTGCGGTGCAGACACCACATGGGGGACCAAGCGTCTAGTGTTTATCCAGGCCTCCGAAGGAGCTTGATATTGAGGGAAAGATGCTAGGCCCAGCGTGGAGTTTTCCTATCCATTTACGAGGTCCTGTCCTCCAGTAGCCCGGCTGCTTAAGCCCGCCCAGTAGTTGGAGGCGGCAGGCTCTAGCCCACCCTTGTACAACAGATTCACTCTCTTCCCACCACAGAAAACAAGCGAATGGCAGGAGACAACCCCAGGAAGGGCTCCGACCAGCCTCAGCATCCTCCACTGCAGGGGGGCACGCCCCAGGGCTCCTTCCAGACTGAATACTCTGCATACAGTTCTTTTAAAACTTTTATTCAATAATATAGAATTCCTTTAATTATAATATAGAACTGTCCATCATGCCGTATTTCCCCCCGCTGCCCCCTCCCTGCCGCATCAAGTCTGGAGCCAGCTAGTTAATACGTTATGCTGGGGTTCAGGGGGGCAAAGGTCAGCATGGGGGGGAGCAACATTAGCCAACAACCGTTTTGCATACCCTTCACATTTTCCATGCTTTCTGGGTCAGGAAGAGGTCAACAGGAAGTCAAAGGCAGAGGAACCTTTTACATTCAGAAGTAAGGTTTGTGTTTATAAACTGGTGGGTGCCATGGAGCCGGTGCGGTCTCTGGTCTCGTCCCCTGCCACCGCAACGCCGTCTGGCCGCCAGCTCTGTACACACGCTGATAAGACGTTTGATTTGGTTCTTGTTCTGCTTATGGAAAATTGGGAGGAACAGCATCGGACCTAGGGAGAGATGGGAGGAGGGAAGTGAGCATCAGACGCGAGCCGCAGTTGATGCCAATGTGTTGCCAGAACTTTTTCCTTCTTCAGCACCTAGTAGATTGAACGCAGGGCCAAGGAGACAGAAGCAGGTTCTAATCCTTCCCCCACAACTTACTCCCTCCACAGGCTTGGGCATGTCACGGAACCTCTGTCCCTCAGTTTCCCTGTCTGTAAAGTAGGAGAATACTGACCCAATTCCCAAGGGTGGTGCGAGGCTTATGCGGTGCTTTGAAGATGTCAGCACTGTAGGAGTGCTAAGTTACTATTGCATGGAATGGCAGGTGAATGAAAATCTGTTTTTTCCACCTTGCCTCCCATACTTATGGTTTGCAATGCTTCCCTGGGATAACGTTCTTATTGGGGGCCAGTAGGAGTCTCTCTGTGCCCCTAACACGTTATCTCACCCCCACTCAGATGCCTGCATCACCCCAAGCCTCCCCATGCACATGCTCCCAGGCCCTGCTGCTCTTGAGAGCAAGGCATCAAGCTGAGGTTCTGAACTGCAGCCCGTCACCTGGTGCTGTAGCACTGGGCCGGGTTGGTAGGCAGGGAATTTTCACTGTACATTTGTGAGCTCACCCCTGTCTCACTGCCATCTCTGTGCCAGATTCCTGAGCAAACAAGAAGGCGTGTGATCAGGGATCTCCCTTGCCCCCTTTCTTTCTGAAGACAAAGCGTTTTTCACTGCCATAAGGAAAAGTAGATGTGAAGTATTACTGAACAGGGGGAAGTGGCATTTCCGGCTCTGGGCATGTAACATGTGAACAGGCTCACAGAGAAGAACTGGATCAACCTAGAGCTATGTGCACACACGTACTACTCACTGTACAGTACAGCAGCAAGGAATGGTAGATTGCAAGGGTATTTCCATACTAACCATTTCAAATCAGCTCTCATTTCCTTTTGGGCTGAAGCTTCTCACATTTGGTCTCAACGCCAGCTTTGAGGTGGGGAAGGTGGTGGGACTGGGCTGAATTTGCAGGGTGACTGGGGCAAGTCGCTTAACCGTTCTATACCTCACAGTTCCCCTTCTTTAAGATGGGAACACGATTTCGCTTCCTAACTTACTTTGGGATTGGAAAGCATTGCTGAGACTCCAGAGAAAAGGTCCTGCCAGAGGAGAGGACAAGGTGTGTGCTGCATGTTGGTATGGCTGTGTCAGGGAAGAATGCGTGGAGGTCTCCACACCTATCAGTGGGAGGTCTGAAGTAGGGTCTTATGACCCTGGACCTCTCCCCCCAGAGCCTTCCACCCCTTTTCCCTCTTCAGACTAAAAAAGGGCTCCGGGTGAAGATTCTACATCCACACCCCATTAGTTCCCAATGTAAAACCCAGGAGTTGGGCAATGCAGATGGTTCTCACTGCAGTACGAATAGCGTGCCCCCATTGGTACAAGAAATGTAAACCCCTGCCTTTCCCAAACGTGCACATCGACATTCACTTAGCATTGGTTTAACGGGTTGGAATTTAATGCTAAACACAAAAAACTGGAGTTAATGCAGCATTGCAGCTAAGAAGCCAACCAATCAGAAGTCAGGAAATTCCCAATGTTAAGGTCCTATCCCAACGCTAACTTGACCTCATTGCCATCTGTTTTACGGGGATAGATCAGAGGTTCCCCTTTCAGAGATACCTGTCTCATGCGTGCCCCACTCTTTCCAGCAGGGAAGCAGATGGGACTCTACCCTGAGGCCATGCTGAAGGGCCAGTGTCAGCAGGGGGCTCTGCCTGGCAGGGGGCCAGTACTTCCAGGGTGCAGCCTTCAGCTCCCTGCTCAGAGTCCCCATCAACCTCCCCAGGGTAACTCCCAGTAAGTGGGTGCTGCAGCTGTGCAATGGGGGAGCTTGTTTCTGGCAGCTGAGATGTCTGCACACAGCCCCATCTGCTTCCCCTGCCAGACAGAGCCCACTCCTTGCCCTTCAGCCCGGCCCCATCAGCTCCCCGTGTGTCCATCCCCCCCCACAATTTGAAAGCTTCTCGTATAGATCATGGATTCTCTGACTTGGGGTTGTGAACACATCAGGCAATCACAACTGTTCAATCCATGTCTAAAAAGGGGGGTGGGTCCCAGACAGGCAGGAGAGGGAATGGGGAGGCAGTGGGGGAAGACACCATCCCAGAGTGAACATCCCCTGAGAACCATTAGTACAGGTTAAAACAAACAGTCCATTGGAGGGCCCTAATTAACAAGGAACCTTCACTTTTGAAATGTTCCAACTTTCAAGGGCTTGAATCCTCAACTTGGCCACCGCATTAGTACTGGTCCTTACATTTCTTGTCCTAAACCAGGAAAGAAATGAAGAGCTGTTGCTATATCAGTATGTCCTTAATAGAGAACAGTCCAGCCACCCCACACGGAGAAGCGTGTGTGTGAGTGTACGTGTGTGAGTGAGTATGTGTGAGTGAGTGAACATGCAGATTAAGAATTCAGGACTTTTCAAGGAGTGGGACATATTGGGTTTCCCGGAAGGAGCGCTCTAGAAAACAACCCTGGTTTGACGTTTCAGTGGTGAGGGTATGTCTGTAGTTACATAAAACTACAGCTGGGGCAACTCAGGCTCAGGGCTATACCACTGCAGTGTCGATATTCAGGCTGGAACCTGGGCTCTGAGACCCTCCCCCAGCCTGAACATCGACACTGTAATTTCAGAGTCCTGCAACCCCGCAAGCCGCAGGTGGGTTTTTTACACTGTAGATGTACCCTGAGAGTCTGGCAAGCACAAAAGTTTATTCCCTGGGCATGAGCGACTCCCTTTGAACTCAACAGCGGCTAAAGTGATTTTGCGGAGACTTTCACCTTTGGGCTGAGACCAAGCACGAAAAGTATCAGGCCAAAAGGAGCTGTTGAGAGGAAGTTAAAGAGCCAGTTCTGATAAAAAGGGAAACTGGAACAGAAGTTAGAACTCAACCCTAACTACAGGATGCAAAGCCTTCAGCTGCTCTTCGTTTCTGCACATCCCCATAGACTAGAAGACAACAGAAGTTCATACGTATAGATATTTATTGGTTTCAGTGAATTATACAAATGGATTTGACCTGCTATCAATGCCAATATAACTTTATTGGGATATGGAATGTAAACAGATGTTTCAAATAGAAACATTCTAACCTTATATTATAAAAAAAAATTAAATATTTGACAATGCCGGAGAAGGAAATTCTGTGTTTAGGTGCTGGTGGCAAAACACTATCTCCGGTTTCTAGGTTTAGGAGGTTTCTAGAATCGCTGGATGAAATTACACACAGAACAACTAGAGGTGGCAACTGTGAGTTGTGGGGCTATAAAGCTATCAAGGGATCGGATGAAAAGCCACAAGAGAACCACCCTGCCCCCCAACAGAAACTTAGCCCCAAAATTCAGCATTTGGCTGATTGTTAACACACTACATGGACCCAAGCTCTGTCTCGGTAGCTATAGTCACCCCAATAGCGCCACTCCCTCCCTGTTCCCACCACACCTCTGCTTCCTGATCCTCCCCCCTTGCTGTTCCCACTCCTGCATCCCCAAGCTCTCCTGCTGCATTTCCTCACATCTTCATTCAATGGTGCTGGCATGAAACACTCCAGATTCACACACTGGAATTGTACTTCACCTGGCGCAAGTTATCACGTGTTACATGGCTGTATCTCTCATTACAGACAGTCTTGCAGGATCGGCTTTCCTGAGGTCTGTGGGAAAGTCTTTTGCCTGCTACAGAAAAACCTTCTGCCTCTACATTCAGGACTTTCCCTAACAGGCCCACCACCTTTTCTGAATGCACTTGCAGGGGTGCTCACCTCTCTCTGAGCAACTTAGAAGGTGGCTGTTGGTTTTAAATGATCCAAACCAATCCTGAGACACACTTTTCCTCTGCAACTGAAACCGAAATGAAAGGGCCAAACTCGGACCTGGAGTGAGCAGGTGCGACTCCCAGACCTCAGAGCTGCATCTGCTTATACCCAGTCTGAATTTGGCCCCAAGTGTCCACAGTTCCAAAGGGCTTATTTATCTAGATGCATGCTATGGTCCACTGGTGGAACGGCAAGTTTGCTCCACCAGCGTGGTAGGAAAAGGCTGGATTGGGAAGGAAGAGAGGCGCCATGGAAATGTGAACAAGAATCAGTTACCGTGAGCCCTGGGTATCTTGCAAACCATTTGCCCAGGGCTTTGATACCACAGGTTGAGTTACATTATCCACAACCACCAGAGAGGAACAGAGGTGTTAGCCCCCCAAAGGTTAGATTTCTGCTGAGTATAAATGGGGGAGGGGTCTTGATTAGTCCCTTCACTGTGTGACTGAAGGCTTTGTTTTTATTTGTAAACATCTTGAGTTACCCGTTGTTTTCCAGTCTTCATCGTGCTGCTGTCAGGCCACTGGAGAGCACGGCATTTTCTGAGTTGGGCTGGGACTGCTCCTTCACCACTGGGTCTGCAAGAGACACAAGGATCAGCCAGGGATGGGAAGCAGCATTACTACGAGCAATATCAAAGCTTCACTTTCATGAAAGCTTAGGTTCTTCCAAGGAACCCCCCTTCAAGCAGCACAAGCTTCCATTAGACTTTGGAGAACCTGGAATTCCAGCCATCAATACGATAGCAAGATCCATAGGGAGGTACTGAATGGAAGACCCACCTCCCACCTGATCAACAAACCCTTCTTTCCTTTTCCAGCCCAGTCATGTGACTCTGACCCCAGGTCTTGCTCCCCCCAGGACTCACAGAAATATGGGTGCTCCATAGCCTCTTTGGCAGTCAGTCTCTGTTGATGGTCATATCGCAGAAGTTTGTCCAGAAGGTCCAGGACTTCAGGACTGACCAGGTGTCTGTTCTCGCTATGGATGAAGTTCTCCCAGCGTTTTCGCGAGTGCCTGTAGCAGAGGGATGTCTCATTGTACAGACCAATCTCTGAATGGCACAGCAGCTACCATCAGACCCTAGGAGGGTTCACCTACCACACCCCATATGTGAATTTAAAGGGCAGTGTTGGAGCTAATTAGAGCTACCTACCAACCCCCTCTACATGCAGAATCCAGCATTTCACTAGTGACACCCAACAAGGACAGTGCCACTCAAGCCTTTTCCTTTACAACCCAGCATACTTGGCTTTTGGCAGTGCTGGGCTTGAGGGATAGCTCAGTGATTTGAGCATTGGCCTGCTAAACCCAGGGTTGTGAGTTCAACCCTTGAGGGGGCCGTTTAGGGATATGGGGCAAAAATTGGTTGGATGATTTAATTGGGGATTGGTCCTGCTTTGAGCAGGGGGTTGGACTAGATGACCTCCTGAGGTCCCTTCCAACCTGATATTCTATGATATCCCAATGAGAGGGAGAGAACCGCACAGTAAGGCTAATTTAGACGTGCTCTCTGTATGAGCAGCTTTACAGAGATCCATTGCTGTCCAGGGTTCCATTCAATAAAGAACAGGCATGAATTCCAAACAACATGGGTGATAGCTAGGTTCTGTAGCCTGCAATGTGCAGGAGGTCAGACTAGATGATCAGGATGGCCCCTTCTGGCCTTTGTCTATGAGATACAAGGGCTTCAAAAACAGGCTCAGAATGGCGAGAATGTCTCTAGTTTGAAGCCAGCCTTGCAAATTTCTACTTGCCATCACGCGAGGTGGGTAATTTTACTTTGACAGACCAGTAAGAGATCATCATCAAGACTTTCAAAGCAATGCAGTGGATTCAGCCACACATCTCCCACTAATTTTACTGGTAGAGGTGTGATTAAATCCCTTGCCCTGTTTAGAAAATATCAACCCGTGTTTCTCATTATCGTCATGGGAAAGGGTGGGCAAGTAGATCCTGGGTCTGGGCTGGCAAATTTGTGAGACAATTTTGCAAGCTGGGAGCATGAAGGCAAAGCAATTTCTGGGATCTAATGAAAGCACAGATCCCATATGTGGGGTCGGGAAGGAATTTCTCCCCAGATCAGATTGCGAGTGGCCTGGGGGATTTTTTGCCTTCCTCTGCAGCATGTGTTTGGGGGGTCACTTGTCAGGATTTCCCTGCCATTGCAGGGGCCTCAGACACTGGTGCACCTCGGTCCCCCTATTTTCTGCCTGCTTGCCTCCAGTGGGCTGTAATCCTTTGGTCTAATTTTGGTTGTTGGGTGGTGGTGGTCTGTGGTATGCAGGAGGTCAGACTAGGATGAGCACAAGTCCATGGGGCCAGATGCGCTGCATCCGAGGGTGCTAAAGGAGTTGGCAGATGTGACTGCAGAGCCATTGGCCATTATCTTTGAAAACTCATGGCGATTGGCGGAGGTCCCGGATGACTGGAAAAAGGCTAATGTAGTGCCCATCTCTAAAAAAGGGAAGAAGGAGGATCTGGGAAACTATAGGCCAGTCAGCCTCACCTCAGACCCTGGAAAAATCATGGAGCAGGTCCTCAAGGAATCAATTATGAAACACTTTGAGGAGAGGAAAGTGATCAGGAACAGTCAGCATGGATTCACCAAGGGGAAGTCATGCCTGACTAACCTAATTGCCTTCTATGAGGAGATAACTGGCTCTGTGGATGAGGGGAAAGCAGTGGATGTGTTATTCCTTGACTTTAGCAAAGCTTTTGATACGGTCTCCCACAGTATTCTTGCCACCAAGTTAAAGAAGTATGGGCTGGATGAATGGACTATAAGGTGGATAGAAAGCTGGCTAGATCGTCGGGCTCAATGGGTAGTGATCAACGGCTCCATGTCTAGTTGACAGCCAGTTTCAAGCGGAGTGCCCCAAGGGTCAGTCCTGGGACCGGTTTTGTTCAATATCTTCATTAATGATCTGGAGGATGGCGTGGACTGCACTCTCAGCAAGTTTGCAGAGGACACTAAACTGGGAGGAGTGGTAGATACGCTGGAGGGTAGGGATAGGATACAGAGGGACCTAGACAAATTAGAGGATTGGGCCAAAAGAAACCTGATGAGGTTCAACAAGGACAAGTGCAGAGTCCTGCACTTAGGACGGAAGAATCCCATGCACTGCTACAGACTAGGGACCGAATGGCTAGGAAGCCGTTCTGCAGAAAAGGACCTAGGGGTTACAGTGGACGAGAAGCTGGATATGAGGAGTCAGTGTGCCCTTGTTGCCAAGAAGACTAACGACATATGGGGCTGTATAAGTAGAGGCATTGCCAGCAGATCGAGGGACGTGATCATTCCCCTCTATTCGACGTTGGTGAGGCCTCATCTGGAGTACTGTGTCCAGTTTTGGGCCCCACACTACAAGAAGGATGAGGAAAAATTGGAAAGAGTCCAGCGGAGGGCAACAAAAATGATTAGGGGGCTGGAGCACATGACTTATGAGGAGAGGCAGAGGGAACTGGGATTATTTACTCTGCAGAAGAGAAGAATGAGGGGGGATTTGATAGCTGCTTTCAACTACCTGAAAGGGGGTTCCAAAGAGGATGGATCTAGACTGTTCTCAGTGGTACCTGATGACAGAACAAGGAGCAATGGTCTCAAGTTGCAGTTGGGGAGGTTTAGGTTGTATATTAGGAAAAACTTTTTCACTAGGAGGGTGGTGAAGCACTGGAATGGGTTACCTAGGGAGGTGGTGGAATTTCCTTCCTTAGAGGTTTTTAAAGGTCAGGCTTGACAAAGCCCTGGCTGGGATGATTTAGTTGGGAATTGGTCCTGCTTTGAGCAGGGGGTTGGACTAGATGACCTCCTGAGGTCCCTTCCAACTCTGATATTCTATGATTTTATGATCTGATGGTCCTTTCTGGCCTTAAACTCTATGACTGATTCGTAGAGGGGACAATTCCCAGCATCTGTGTTAGGTTCCCCCCCAATCCATTTCAGTCATTTTACTGGCATCACGAGGAATGGGAGATGCAGCCCCTAACATGGTGAGAAAAATAAACCTAGACGAGCTCTCGGAACCCAGGAGAGGCAGAGAACCAAATCTACTATGAAAATCTAGTGGCTTGTTCAGTGCGTAGACAGCCAGAGGATAGAAAAAAAACCTAAGTTACATCAATAGCTAGATAAGAGGCAGACAAATGACACTGCAGCCCAGGAGACTTAAAGCAGCACTTGTGCTTTGGAGTAACTCTTGGGATGGATGTTTAAGGAAAATAAACCAAAAGTCATGTTTTGCTTCTTGCCTCCCCTACTTACTGTCCCAGGATATCATTGAAGTGCGGATCCAGTTCTATGTGGTACTTCTTCAGATACCCATACAGTTCATCTGTGCCCAGAACCTTAGCAATGCGAACCAGCTGCAACAAAAGACAGATTTACAGAAGCAACAAGAGAAGGGCAGGTCACTGACTTAAGAGAATGTTCCGCCACCTCTGTACTGGATGGATGGAAGGGCTGCTGCATCCATGTTAACCACAAACAAGAGTGGGAAGTTAGTCTGTTAGCACCTGGGCAGCCAGAGATTAGGAGCTCAGCATTGGGGAAATCCTGAGGTCCAAGGAAAGCTCCCTTGCAAATTTTTCTCTCCAGCACCGCAACAATTTGTGCCACATATCATTGGGCCTTCCAGAAGGCACACACTTTCTGTTGTGCAAGTCCTGACACCTCAGTTCAACCAAATGCATAACAATGCCTTACCAATCAGATGGTCCCAGCCCAGGAACCTCACCCCCAACCAAAGGAAAGAGGTAAACAAGAATTCCCCCTTTCAGAGTCAGACAGCATCTCCTCACCTGGTCATAGTTGTCCTGGCCATGGAAGAAGGGCTCCTTTCGGAAGATCATGCTGGCCAGCATGCAGCCTAAACTCCACATGTCTAAGCTATAGTCATACATCTGAGGAGAGGAGAAGAAACAATCAAATGGAGAAAGGTCACACTTGCCTTAGGCCCAAGCCCCAAAAGACCCCTAGTCAAAGGAGGCTCTCAGTTTTCCAACTTCATGGCAAAGTTGCTCTAACCTGGTAACCCCCAGAAGGCAAATGGACAAACCCAAAGTGGCCTGAGTGCAACCACAAGCAACGCACTAAATAGCAATTTGGATGCAGACTCTTACTTGGTAGTCCACAAGGAGCTCCGGTCCTTTGAAGTACCTCGAGGCCACGCGGACATTGTATTCCTGAGCTGGATGGTAGAACTCTGCCAAACCCCAGTCTATGAGCCGCAACTAAACATGCAATAAAGAGAAACACACAGAGTAGGAGCAAACAGGTTTAGTTGCCAAGAAAAACAAGTCAGGTGAAGCCAAGTCTGCCAAAGCCTTTTTCAATGGTTTGGTGAAAGCCCGGAGCCCTTTGTGCAGCGATGCGGTATCGTCTGGACTCTGCTCATGCTGTCACCTCACTCTATTATCTGCGGTGCTTTGTGGCATTACCATGGCTCAGAGAATTCTCTGCCTTGCAACCCTAATCAAATAATCTATTGCTGGGTGACTCATGTGTTACTAATGCCACCAGTCAAATAAAAAGACAGTTAATTGGATGCTAGGGAACAAGCAGGAACCAGCCGCATTAAACAAAAATCAAAAGCACAGCTGGGCGTGAAGGCAGCATCAATGCTAACAAGTGGGAAGAGCTACGAGAGAGTCACTGGCTAGAGCAGAGGGGACGAGCTGCCCTTTCAGGTGAGAAATGCAGACTGCACCACACTTGCATGGACCTGCAGATGGCGTTATAATTGCCAGGGAGACTATCAACCCCTGAGCTGCCGGCATCGCTGGGAGACCGCTACTGCTGATTCACAGGGAGGGAACTGTGGCTTAGCAGCTCAGGAGAAATATGCATGTGGGAGGACTCTAAGGCATCACTTGAACTGGGCAGATGGAGGGAAAGACCCTGAGATACCACTGTCCCTTTGGTATATGCAGCATCCACCCCAAATGGCCACATGCAGCCATGAAGTTAAGATGGCACTCCAGTGCTGGACATCAGGTTGCTGACACAATGGGCAAGTACCCACTAAGGTATTTTATCCCATGAATTGACCAGTGTCCATCAAAAATGACACAGGACAGATGTGGAAAAAGAGGCCACAGTATTGCACATGGCAGGCCAGTGCAGATAAGCCACAGGCTTTTATCTTTTAGGAGATCAAGCCAGTCTAGTGACTGCAGGTGAAAGGAGGTTATCCACTAACTTCATCCACTTAGAAAAGTCATCTGAAACCTACAATAGCTACAGAATTCAGAGGGGGACGCAGCGCTCAAGCCAGTGGAGTGAAGTTACTCGAGGGCTCTGAAAATGCTGTGGTCTCACATAATACAGATGAGCCAGGACTGGAGCAACAGCCTCTACTCTGAGCCTCTTGGCTTTTGGGGATTTAACTGGGGGAAGGGTCTTCTATTTAGTAGGTTTAAAAACAAAACAAACCAAAAGCTAGAGAACTGGTAGATTCCACACACCCCCACGCACCAATATCACCTGTCCCCTAAGAAAGCAAAACTCTGTATTGAGACTACAACGTCGCTGGATCCAACGACAGGAGAAGCTTACGTTCCCAGTGTATAAAATCCACGTACTCTTCAGACAAGATAGGATGTCACAACCGAACAATCATAACGATCACTGTCCAACAGAGGAACTTCTGCCCATCTGTCCTCCCACTTGTGCCCCATTCCCCTCCCTCTATTTCTCTTACCCCCCTGCCCCAAGCTTTCCAGGCAGTAGCAGTAACGCTTCTCTTCTAGCAAAGGTTGGAAACCACTTCCCAAATAAGTGGAGGAATTGGAGTAATTAGAAGCAATCCCCTCCCCATCCCGGCCAAGTCAGAGCAATTTGCTTCTGTAGAGCTCAGAGAAAGGCAGCAGAAGTAAAGTATGACAGACAATCCCCAATACATGTAGAGTACAAGTGATCTCACTCGGGGAAGAGTGTGTGGTTGGGGGTGGGAATAAGAAAGCAGCAGCCTAGACTACGGACATTGTGGTGGCAAAGTTTCAAGCTGCCCTGAAACCTCGATAACTTTGTGCCCCACTGCAGCAGTACCTTTTTCTGTTGGTGGTCTATCATGACGTTGTGGGGTTTGACGTCCCTGTGCATGATCCCCATGCTGTGACAGTAATCCAGGGCCTGGCAGACAGACAATATACATTCATGTTAGACAAACCAGTAAACACAGACAAAAGTCCATGATGTAGCACATGGCTCTCCAGCCAGTAAAGTAGGTGTGCCTGAATGAAGAGAGTACAGAACCTGAAGGACTCCGAACAACCAGGACCCTTGTTTCGCTCACTATCCTGGTTGTGGCAGAAGTGGCATGTTGCTGGTAGAGAACAAGAGGACTATGCAGCTGCCATTCTACACTTGGTTCATTTGTTGTACAAGGCCCCGACTCCTGGATCTGTGCTCCCAGCATGTACTTTAGAGCTCAAGAGCCAGTGAGATAGATGTCTTATCAGTAGATAGGTCCACAACCACAAGTGACTGGCCGTCATTTCCGCTGTCACTGCTGGCAGGAGAGGAACTCCCCAGGAATGCAGTGATTTCTACCATTTGCTCAATGTTTTAGGGCCTTTGAGGATGGCTTTTCTTTTGAGCCTCCAGAATTTGCTTGGATCTACCAATAATTTCTAAAGCAAGATCACACATGTGCAAGGAGCATAATGACTTGAACACTATGGAAGGAATGACGATGTGGTTCAAAGAACAAGGCAGGAAATACAAGCAGAGAGTGCACAGACCTGAGTTCTACTCTCAGCTTGAGGAGCCTGGGCTAGCTGTGTCTCTGTGCAGCTGTTCTCCGTGTATTAAGTGAGGAGTATGCAGCTTCTCTACCTCTAAGAGATGGCGGAGCTAAATCTATCAAGGTTTGTCAAGTGCTCGGAGATTCTCACATGGAAGACACTAAAAGAGGCCAATGCATTCTCTACCTTTGCTGTGTTTGTGAAGCTGAATTCCTTATGCAGTTTGTCTAACCTGCCTTGTTCCTCTCCCTCATTTCAATAAAAATAGAAGCAGCCTGGAGCTTCATAGCATGCCTTGAATTCAATCAGAAGGGGATTTCCCTCCCAGACAGACACAATCATTCCCTGAAAGGACTAGAAACACGGATGGGTAGCCACAGCTTGGGCTGGCTAGGAGATCTATCCCAAGTGGTCATCTTGAGTCACTGACTCCTGGAGTGGACGCTCCAGGGCTCGGGCAGTCTTCTCTGACACTTCCAGACCCAAAGCCAGCCCAAAAGGCCTGGAAATGGCAGTTTTAATAATCCAGTTACCCTGCTGGGAACCAAGACAGACAACAGCGGCTGCCTTGGCAGAGATTCAACATGACAGTGCCCAGAGCACAGCTTTGAGAACTGAAGTGCTCTGCTAGCTCCTTCACACTGAAGCTTGAGATCCCATAGAGACGGTTCAGCAGATCTCAAAACCTGCCACATGATGGTACACCAGCCTCTCAAGAGAAGGGGTGGGGCGGTCTAATGAAACCAAAAGAGCATAAGGGCACACACTGCTCACTTGAGGATGGCATTCATCCCTCTCTGTCATTTGAAAGAAGAACCAGCCAAATAGGTGCCTTACTGTAAGTTTCTAGGTCTGGTCTCAAAGGGCCTTAGTTACCCTAACAGATGTAAGTCAAATACCAGCAGAGCCATGGGGGTCTAAAGCCTCAGCCCCACCGACAGAAAAAACTTCAGGGGCTTTGAAAGATTTCAAGGCATTTAACCAGCCAGCTTGTTTCTGACCCACAGGCTCATTCGGGGGAAGGAAGATTTGAAGCCACCTACCTCCCACCCAACTCCCTAATTGCCCTGGTGACTCTGGACAATTGGGGCTACCAAATCAAGTTCTGTAAAAGCTCAGGAAAACGCCCCTCTGGGGCATGCACTCAGGTTCTGCGATATCAAGATCCACCCCCTCTGGCTTTGCATAATGCCAACCATGCCTAGCTCACCTTGGCTACTCCCTTCACCCCACCCACTTCCAGCGCTTTGTCCCTGGTGCTTTACTCTCCACTTACCTACACAGTCACTACTGATAGGGAACTCCTTTCTGGAAAAAGACCAGATACTGACAGTATAAAAGACAACTAAAGAGCCCCAGTTCAGTTCTGAACTTCCCACATTTTTCTCTCCTCCACGGGGGCTGGTTAGTTTGATCTTCTCACGCCAACCCTCCCAAACGGGCTCTGTTATGTGACAACAATTCTGCATCAACTACCAGAGAGGGAACAAGCCGAAGAGTCAATTTGCCAGAGGGCTGCTCCAGGAATTCTGCCGTTGCCTCAGAGACATTCATTCCCCCAGCCCAGACTCTTCATGTCCATCACTCACCTTGAGCAGCTCATACATATAAAACCGAATATCAAAGTCTGTCAGGATCTGGTACAGTTGCTGAAACAGATTGTGGGAGAGAAAGAGAAGGGAAAATAAATATTCAGATCTTGATTGTTTTAGTCTAAAACTGCACCTCTTAGTTCCTAACCCCCCCATCTTCAAGTACTGAAGCCACTCTGCATCCTTTTCTAACGCCGGGAGCCAGGGCCTGAACTCAACGGGAGTGCCAGGTATCAGCGTAGGGTTACGTTGGGTAACAGGATATGTCCATGGAGATGAGGGCACAGATTTGGCAGTGGGGAATGTCGGCATCCTACAGACCCGTCATTGCCCCTTTGCTTCCCCTAGACTGGATGATCCCCTGCAACATCAGACAGCAGCTGCTTAGGAGAATATTAGCGTTCACATTTCCGCAGCGTATCGAGACTATCTACGCTAATCAAGAAGGCTAGAGTGACAGCTGCTGCAAAGGGACAGAGAGAGTAACGTGGAAGGGAAAAGTAGGCCAGAGACCTCATCGCAAGGTGGGAAAGAGATCACAGTATTGAGTTCATTACTGGCAGTGTAAGTGATCTACGCAATCTCACTCTCTCCTATTGGGATTAGTAATCACTGCTACTGGAAAGCAGCAGGGGAAGCATTTAAGAGCCAGGGTGCGCTTTAAAGCACAACTCATCAGCAATACCACTAATACCTTTGTCACCCAGTCACGCCCAGCGTGAGCCACCCCTTGGGTCATGATTAGCACAAGCATTTCACTTTATATCCATCATCGGCACCTTCCTCAGCCCGACCCTGTTCCACTGCTCCTACCCCATGGGGTGAGTTCTTCCCTCCTTCCCAAGAGGCCCAGCATGGCGCTAGGAAGCAGCAGCTATGCGAAGCATGACATGCACGTTGAGTTTTATAGAAAACAGCAGGACTTAACCTTTTTTCCTTTTTAATAAACAAGCGTCTCCTCAAAGCCCAGTCAAATTGTTTGATTTCATTAACTTCAAAGCCAGCTGCTAGCTCAGGGCATTGCCTGGTTGTTTCAAGAAAACCCCACAGTGGCGATTTGAAATTCACATTCCAAGAAACTAGAGCTGATCCTGAATTCTCTTCAACTCTGGAGCGGTGTCCGGATACACGATGAAGAGTGATGTAAACAAGTCACCGCCTATGCCCAAGGCGCCCTCAGCAACACACCTGAACAGCCCAGCCTTCACCATCCCTGCTCCAATAAGCTGCCTATTCATCCAGCAATGTACAAAGAACATTTACAAGCCCAGGAACTGTTTAGTGCCTCTTGGGGTGCAAACTCAATTCGATTTTCATGAGCTAGGGTGATCCTAACATCCAAGCGCAACTCGGTGAAGCAGGCACAAGTCAGCAAGGATGAGACAAAACGATACAGCAATAAGCTACAACAGGGGGTCTGTTGGCTACTGGGGCTCACCGGAGAACCTTCTGCTCTCCTCCAGCACACCAGCAGCCTTCTTATGCATGCCCTGGAGCAGATCAGTGCAAGTGGAGCACAGCTCTTTCATCTGAACATTTCTTTCGTTTTCAAACAAGCCATTTTGAAAAGTTTGGGGGTTTATGAAATTAATCTTTCCACGAAGGACAGACCATAATCATCTTCACGAACATAGCACCTTTCCTCTGTCGATTTGAGACACCGGGACAGATTAGTCTTCCCATTTTACAGATGGAAAATGAGAGACTAAGGCCCATATCCTCAAAAATACTTAGGCAACTAACTCCTGTGCCTCCCCAAACAGCCTGGCCCCTGCCCCCTAACTGCCCCCCTCAGAATCCCCAACCCGCCCTGCTCCTTGGCCCCGACCCCCCCTTCCCAGGATCCCCTGCCCCTAGCGGCCCCCCCGGGACCCCACCCTCTATCCAACCCCCCCCGCTCCTTGTCCCCTGACTGCCCCAACCCCTATCCACACCCCTGCCAGGCCCCCCAGGACTCCCATGCCTATTCAACTGCCCCCGCTCCCTGACTGCCCCCTGGGACCCTCTGCCCCTTATCCAACCCCCCCGCTCCCCGCCCCCTTACCAAGCCACTCAGAGCGCCAGGACTGGCAACCGCGCCGCCCGGCCAGAGCCAGCTGCACCACCGCGCTGCCCGGCAGGAGCTCACAGCCCCGCCACCCAGAGCACTGGCAGCACAGCAAGTGGAGGCTGCGGGGGACAGCAGGGGAGGGGCCAGGGGCTAGCCTCCCCGGCCGGGAGCTCAAGGGCCAGGCAGGACAGTCCCGTGGGCCGCATGTGGCCCGCGGGCCGTAGTTTGCCCACCTCTGGGATAGAACCAAGTGCTCTCATTCCTTAGTCCCATGTCGGGCTGCCTTCTCCCAAGAGCCTGACAAAGGTATTCTAACTATTATCCCCTCCCAGCACCATTCCCCTGAAGCTAGGCTGCCTTCTCAGCTGAAGTTTGTTGCCCAACAGCCTCTTTCAACACACTTCCTTGTACAAACGGAATATGAAATACAGAACAGTTCCCTACGTTTTCACAAGAGAAAGTCAGAGAAGTTGCTGGAGGTGCTCACGCTACTGCTAAATGGACGGCTTGGCACAAGGGTGGAATGGAGCATTTTAAAACTCTCTTTCTGAGCCTTCCTCTCTCTAGCTGCCTTGTACCATTTTACGCCCACTGATTGTTTCTACCACCCTTTTAACCTGCTCAGCACGGGGCCTTTTAAAGCCAGAGCCAAGGTCTCCACAGCATGGTGCAACAATAAGAACATAGCTTTGGGAAATCTCGGTCCACAGAGAGAGAAATAAAATGAACATCCTCCCAGCAGGGTTCCAGACTCTCTTTATTTAAGCTATTTACAGAGCCCTGGCAGGTCCCTTCATCACCAAGTTCTCGCCAGAGTTCCGTTCTCGCGCTCTGTTCTCAGTGTGGTTTTAGTCTGAAGGGTGACAAACGTCACTGTGAGGCTCTGTATCTTGATGATTTCCGTTAACATCTGCTCAGTTAACTGCCAGCCCAATCAAACTGAACCTGGGCTCTGCTCTGCCAGTCAAACTGGTCTCTTTCCTTCTCGTGCATCAGCACCAACAACAGAGGCTCCACAGGCCAATCAGGCCTTCAGAGGCACCTGTACAGCCCTCAAGGGCTTTCAGTGGGTTTGAACAGATGGAATTGATTGTCGTTGAACAATTCTATTGATGCCCAAGAAGGAACCAGCAGGGCTAAGAGGAGTTAACCAGTAAACACTTTTCCTCACTACAGGGAGCTAGTCTGCCTGCCTACGCAGGGGCACAGATTTCTGGAATAAGGCACTGTTCTTTTTATGACTTTTCAACATAGTACTGCATTTAAGGGGTGCTGCTTGGAGGTGTAAAGCATTCAAATGGGATCACTTGAAAACCATTTGCCTGTTGGCTGCCGGTGTTTATAGCTAAGCTAAGAAACAGTTTTATTTCATGCCTTTATATCCCATGTATGTGTTGCAAATGTAGTGGGAAAGTATATTTATCCTCAATATGCAGAAGTTTGGGTGGGAAGGTGCAGGGAAGCGGTCACTCAAGAGGTGGAAAAATAGAACTAAAGGGAATCCCAGGACACTGGACTCCTAGCAGCCTGCCTGCATCACCCAATACACAGAGAAAGAGGAGGGACCAGCTATCCCATCCTCATATTCTATGATCATCTCCATCCTGGGTAGAGATGTAATCCCAATTGCTCCAAAAGTTATCTGGATAAAGCTCCTTCACTTTCTTCTACTCTGCCCCATACAGCCTGGATCTCCCTTCCTGATCTGCTATGCACCTCTGCCATTTCTTCCTCTCAAACACCTCTTCTAAACAGCCTGTCAACTCTACTCCTGCCTTTCAAAGTGGGATCTGCTAAAAATAAGATAGCACAACCTGTGCAGTGCTGCTCGAAAGAGACTCCATCTTTCTCTTCGAGCCAGGAGCCATTATCTTGCAGACCTATGAGTACCACACATTTCTGGTACTATGCAAATATGCATCATTTGAAGGCTGTTGGGGGAGAAAGTAGGCATTTGGGACAGGGGCGGCTCCAGGCACCAGCGCAGCAAGCGCGTGCCTGGGGCGGCAAGCCGCGGGGGGCGGCCTGCCGGTCACCGTGAGGGCGGCAGTCAAGCTGCCTTCGGCGGCATGCCTGCGGTAGGTCCACTAGTCCTGCGGTTTCGGCGGCAATTCAGCAGTGGGTACACCGAAGGCACGGGACTGGCGGACCTCCTACAGGCATGCCCGACTCCGCAATACCAGCGGACCTCCCGCAGGTGTGCCGCTGAAAGCTGCCTGACTGCTGTGCTTGGGGCGGCAAAATACATAGAGCCGCCCCTGGTTTGGGAGCATGTCAGCTGTTTTAACTTCCAGTTGGAAACAGAAAGACAATGGGCACTTTGTGCCTCTACCTAATGACCATTTGCCTGACTTTCATTTTGTCTGAAGTCACAATTTAAGGCAATCATTTGTGAGTAGCTTGTGACCTCAAAGATAAATTTTGTTTATACTTATGGTTAAGAGAAATGTTGGCCACTCATTAAGACACAAGTAGAGACATTCTGTTTCATGTGAGAAAATAATTTAAGTATGATTTTTCAAACTCTGGCTCATCAAGCCCGTAGGTATACAATTAAGCAGTTTAAGATAATTTGACCAATTTAAAAGGTAAGGTATTCATCTACTTAAGGTATTTCTAGGGCCACCTATCACCACAGAATCCAAATATAATTTTAAAATATTTAAATTCCTTTGATTTTAAAGTTTGAGAGTCACTAAATCTGGGAACTCCTGTAGCTTTTCTTTAGGTCGGACCTACAATGTTTTAGGCTCCACTCTTGCAAAGACAGACCATAAGGCAGCTGAGGGAGTCCAAGCAGCACTATTCTCAGGGTTATGCAGATACCACTGGCAATGCTTGTGCTCCAAAGGAAGTGACATTAACTAAGTAGCGTAACAAGCAATTAACATTAAGCAAAAATGTAATTTTGCTGAAAGCACAAGGGAAAGCATTTGCCAGAAAAGAAGATCAATAACGACATTTTCTAGCTTCAAAGAGGCTATTACAAATGAGAGAGAGAAAGATAAAAATGTAATACTGTCAAGTATCTGGCAGTGGCCCATCATAGTCAAAAGAGTCACTTGGAACCAGCTTGAGAACCCTCCGCTCATGCTCTGACAATTTTTTCTGAGACACACACACAAGGTTGTCACACCGCCATTGGGTGTACAAGTAATTATAGTGATCACAAGTTCAAGCATTTAGCATATGGACCAACGCCACCAAAATGAGTAAGAGGACAATTCCCTATCACTTGAATTAGAAACATGGAGCATTGAAAGAAAGAAGGAAAAAACTGAAACAAGTTGGAAAGCTTCCAGTTTAAGTCTCCAGACATCTTATTAATAGGGTTCAAGGAGAGCCAGTGAGAACTGACATGAGGATTCTTGGACCTGTTTTCACTCAGCCCTCCAAGCACGTCGCTCCTGTCTTAATAGAGAGAAAGAGACTTTGGGGCTTTATTTTAAAATGAGAGATCCTCTTGTGCGTTTTTGCATGTGCATTGGCTAGATAGGCACTCAGTCATCTGTGCATGTAAATACATGAACCTGAAAACTCAAAAAATGCAGGTCCTAAACAAGGCTACTGAGGTTTAAGCTATAAATCTACTACTCTTTCCTAGCCAGGCTGAATGTCTCATGATGTAGACAGGATTTTCATATTTTCAGTTTCAAGCAAAGTTTTCCAGTTCTGTCTCATATCAATCAGCAGAAAGACAGTAAAATAAAGAATCTTTAAAACTTGAACTCATATTTGCGTCTTGATGATCCTCAAGATTCAGGCTTTTATATTTACTTTGTAATGATTCATTTTAAAACCATTTAATTTCTTCTGATGCAATGGCCACAACTCAGCAATGCAACTTCTGATGTCCTGTTCAGATATGAACAACATGGGTAACAATGCACAACTTAGCTTGCAATCACTGGGGAAAACAAAGCAAGCAACTATTCCTGTTCTTGGTGGGAATGACAGTTTGCTAGGAATGTGGCACACGATCCATACCAAACCATCAGGAGAGACCATTTAACTCCCCTGCTACTGTATCCTCTGACCATAATACCCAGATATCTTCATGTTTAGAACAGTATTTAGGAGACAGCATTATCTGGTAAGAACTGGGTAGGTTTTCATAGAATATAGAATCATAGAACTGGAAGGGACCTCAAGAGGTCATCTAGTCCAGTGCCCTGCACTCAAGGCAGGACTAAGTATTATCTAGACCATCCCTGACGGGGGTTTGTCTCGAGTTGTTAAATCTAATATCTCCCCCCATGCTATACCAGCTGGGGAAGTGAGAATCAAATCACTGACTTGGAAATATGCCCTGCTTTGAATTTTTGTGTAGACACATTATTAGGCACACGTGGCTTTTCGGGATAGCAAGAAGGGATCCTTGTTCAAAACAATTTGATTTGCTACCCTAGGGCTTGGCTTTCTCTCATGCTGTTTGTTAAAAAGTGTAAATGAAGTGTAATGAGTACTTCAAAAGATTTTCAGCCATCAACCGAAATGGCTACGTCCTGGGGGCCAAATGCCTAAAGGCAGCATGCTTAGTGCGTACAGAAGTCCATAGTTCAGAACAGTACACACTGTTTGCACAATCCAGCTGATTCAAATTAAACCCAGACAAATCCAGGTCATTTTAATTAGCCCAGAAAGGTTGCTGCATAACACTGCCCTTGTTGCCATTTACTCTAATGGGGCAATGCTCACTCCCCCTCAAACACTCGCAGGACAGATGCTCTTGCACGTTACTATATTCTGGTCTCCCTGCTAAATCCCTACACAGCGTAAATAACGTCCAAAATGCTGCAGCCAGATTAACTACGTGCATTGGCTGTGGTCAGCACATTACAGTAGCACTTGACTCACTACACTGACTCCCGTGTGATGGAAGCCATGCATGCAATCTTGAACCGCAAGGCTTAGAGGACTTGCAGGTCTTTCACATGGCCAATATACTGCTTCCTTATTCCTTTCAGCAAGTTTTCAGTGACTGAGGCCAAAGTTGCTAGTAGCCCCATCTTGAGGGAAAGGGTTCCCAAGGCTGGGTATTAACCTTCTTGGTAACCCATAGGTTTGCAACGCTACGTGTGGAACACAGGGAACACTTATTCTCTAAGCTCTGAGCTCAGGGGGTTTCTTCTTTTTACTTCCTCTCCTCCTTTTCCTCATATTCTAGCAACTCCACCTCTGAGAGGCCTGGAATTTGAGCTCTTTTGGGACCATCCTGGAGTGCAGAGAAATTCACTAGAGAGCAAAGGGATGCAATGTAATAACCGTGGGACCAAAGGTGTCGAAGCACCTAAAGATACATAGAGGCGCCTAGGTGCTTAACTCCCATTAATTTAAATGAGAGCTCATTAGGTGCCTATCTGTATCTTTAGGCACCTAAATACCTTTAAAAATCTGCTGACTGGGGAGTGAAGGACCAAGTTCTGCTCCTCTCCGTAATAGCAAGTTGTACCGGCAACAGCCCAGTGACATTCCTTGTACATTTCTTGAGTACTCTGAGGCCTAAATCCTAAGAAGCGAGCATCTCCTAACGGTTCACACACTCAGTCACGTTATTCAACATCACAGGACAGTATTTTCCTACATATGGAGTAAGAAAATGGCTCGGAGACAGTGGGGTGCTAACTGACGGCCGTTAGAATTAATTATGAATGACTCGCTAAAAGGCCATCTCGCAGAGTTAATCACTTATGATACAAGGAGGGATAACCTGGAGCAAGGAGGGATAACCACACCTACTTCAGAAAGTTACTAACTACACAGATTAGCTCATTTCCCCCAGCCAGAAACTGTTACAGTAGCAAATATGCTCACTGATGGACCAACTTGGAGAGGTTCACCAGAGGAAAGAGAAATATTCCACTCAGCTCCCCAACTAACACAAAGGAAGAAAATATACAGCAGTCTGGAAAAAAGCTTTACATCTCCTCCAACATAGGTCATGTCACACCTTGGCTATGATCTTTCCAAGTGAGAACACTCACTCTCAGACCTTAAGTCACGACTCTACACATCAGCTCCGCAGGATTTCTATGCAAATCAATGCCACCATCTCCATCAACAGCCCTGCCATAAATAGAGTATGATAGCCGAGGGATTAACTTAGATTTAAAATACAGCACAGCAGCAGTTGCTATGTTGAGAGAGGGTAACTAGGAAATGCAACAAACTCTCCCATTTTCCTGTATCCTTGGAACTCACACCTCAAAGTCACAAGGAGGGACAGCTGGGCAGTTTCGAGTTTTATTTCTCAGAGCCGTACTCGATCTGTGTTGGCTGAAGTTACAAGGGAAGGTGGTGTATAGACCAAAGCCATTATTTCCCCCACTGCTGTCAACAGCAACTTGGCTTTTCAAAGGGTCTCCAGTAAACCTGGTGTATGGCAAATTTAGAGGACCTTGAGACCTCCCACCTCCCCCACTTTGGTACAGAGACAAACTCACCTTAAAATCTGTATTATTGATGTACTCAAACACCAAAGCTGGGGTCTTTGACTGCAAGAGAGAAAGGTGAATGGGTTAGCCATCTTCCTGCAAGAGCAGTACCTTCTGCCCTTTCTGAGCCCCGTAATTCTGACTGACAAAAAACACACTTGCATTTACTTTCCTGCCCCAAGCTTTTGCCCACTGTTGTGCCCCACACAACAGGGTAGGAACACTCTGCTACCAAAGTGTGCTGGAACAAATGCTTATTACCCACACAGCAAGCATCAGCTAGGCATTTCCGACCATGCTTTTCCCCTCCAGCTGGTTGATCACAGATAGCATAAGATGTTAGTGCACAGCAAGGTGAAATGTATCGCCTCACAGCTGAGCTGGTAAATGAAATTGTATCATTCTCTTGCTAATACTTAGAACTTGCTAATCGTTTTCTCTTGTAGATGTCAATAAACTAGAAGATCATGTGACCCAGTCCAACAACCCCTTATCCCCCAACCAACAAAGAAATTGTTCTGGGAAAGAGGCAAACGTAGCATCTAAATAACAAACCAGACCAAACAAGAGAAATATTATTTAGGAAGTAAGGAAGAGGAAATAAGCAATAAGCTGTTAAGTAGGAAGACAACAAGATGTAACCAAGTGGGAGGATGAGCACCTGCTATCAATTCACCTGGACAAATCTTACCATTGTTTAAGTCACAAGTGGCCATGACGCAGAGATGGCATATGCATACGTGCATGCGCGTGTGGAGTCACAAAGCTTTCTCCCCCAAGAGGCATCATTAGATATAGAAAGGGAATCAAGGATTTTGGGGTACAGGGAAGATTACCAAGTCATCCAAACCAAAGTACTCTCAAAAGAACCTAAAAACCCCAACGCTGCTCTTCAGTGAAGGAAGATGTAAACAGCAAGATGAAAACTAAGGTGACAAGACAACCAGCAAGAAACAGGAGTTTTGCACTTGAAACATGTATTTCCATCAATTACCCTACAGACTACAGCTCAAGACAAGCCCAGCACTAGATACCTCAGGACATACTGATACCTACCACTGGATCCTTGACAGTGTCAATCAGCTTAATGATGTTGGTGCCACCTCGCAGATTCTCCAGAATCTTAACCTCTCGTTTTATCTTCTTTTTCTTCACTGGCTTAAATACACAAAAGTGATTAGAAGTGAGACCCTTTCAGAAGATACCACCAGTTCTCATCCAGTGATTTATACTGGACTGAACTACTTCCCGCCTCTTGGGGGAGGGCGAATGAGAACACTCCTAGCCACAAGGCGGCGGCAGTTTTCAGAAAGGGCTGATACAGGGCAGACAGGCGCCTCAAACAGTATATTCCCTCTTGTCAGGATGGGTTACTTTTCCGTTGCATGCAATGGCAGAGCACTTTACACACAAAACCAGCCACCCGTACTGTGGTCGTCACCAAGTTTAAAAGCACTTGAAAACCACCCAACACGGAAAAGGTTACAGTTAGTTGTTATGCATTATTATCACATGACAAATATGGCAGATGATGTACCACAGCCTGTGTTTACTGGTTTAACACATATGATTTTTTAGTTCCATTGCTGTGCAGTTCTTATTTCTTCTGGAAGTAACCTATCTTGAGTCCTTCTTCAGTTACTTAATTTGCTGAAATTCCAGTTATCAACATTTATGAAGCAGTTTAGACATTTAAGTGTATAATTACACATCATTTAGTTATTCAACTACCCCAGGGAGTGTGAACACCCAGTAAAACTGCACCTGTGGACAAGTTATTGCTTTTATACACACTTTAAAAAAAAATTGTAAGGATATTTTGAACTGTCGTAAACTTGTCTTCAAACATACACACTCCAAAAACCTCTTTTTGGGAGCAAACATTACGAAGGAGGGTTATCATCAAATTAAAGGGTTTCCCCCCCCCCCCCCAGACTGATCAACTGCCCATTTCCATAGAACGAGATAATTTACATAACTCAGCATAAGGGGAGTTACAGTTGTTGACTCTCTATTCCTGCCCCTGCTGGGAGGAAAAAGCAACACAGCAAGTAAGATTTTAAGACAATGGCTATAAACAATGGTTCATGGGCCAGGCGTGATCTGCAGACAGAGCTATAGAGAACCACAGTGAGGTACTGAGAAGGGATTTCAGTTCATGAAAAGCACTCTCTCCTACTCACATATCGCTCCCTCCCAAAAAAATGGTTTGTAGAATGAGAAACTTTAGAGACCCACCATTGTAACATTGAATTGAAAAACTTTCCTTTTTCATTTTGGCTGCCTCCTGAAGCACTGAAAGTTAAAGATCCCTGAGAGGCTTTTAAAGTCTCTAAGTGCTTTCAATTTGAAAACAAAATAGTCACAAAAACCCCTTACTCACAGGTATGAGCACTAACCCCTGCGTCAGATCCCGCCTATAATAGAGAGCATATCATAAACACAAACCAACGAATTCTCAGTAAACAGACTGCTCAAAAAGCAAGAAAGCCAAAGGAAAAAACTGAAGTTTCAGTTAACAGACTCCCATTAAACCTGTTATATTTAAAATCTACATTAAGAAAACATTAAAGTAGGACTATTAAGCACCCACAAATCAGGAAAAGAAAGTTAAGTTGCACATACCACCTTAACTCTACCTCCTTGTGAATACACACTACTATACAGTTAGTCACAATTTCAAATTCTCTCTCAAATTAAGTCATTTTAGGCTTTTGGAAAGATAAAATTCCTACAGTAACTAGACAAATAGCATTCTCGTTGTGTGACTGTGTCCTGAACACCTTAGGAGGATCTGGTCAGGTTTGCAAGATGTGCATTGAACGAGGCAAGGGCTTCTATGTAGCTCTTTCGTTCACTGTGAACCTGTAGTAAATTTTGCAGTATGTAATTAAATTTTAGATACAGGCGTGCTGCATAGCCTACCTTCAAAGAGTTAAAATGTCATTCCATCTTTACTGCATGTACACAAAGAAAGAGTCAGATCTCAAAAGTCGGTCAAATCAAAACAAACCCCATTTTCACCAGAATTCTCCAAAGCCACTACCCCTCAATAAGGGCTATTTCTCTGCCAGATTATGTTTTGTTTTTGCTCTCCAACCATTTTAGCTTTAGAGCTGTTCCGAAAGCATTACAACTGTATTTATTTATATAATGGAGCAAGTATCTCCTCTCTCATATGCTGTCAAACACGGCTGAACCATTTTGACTCAAACTTTCCAAAACAGGTCATCTTCCAACAGACACCAAGGTTAGAAATTTTCAGCTCAAAGGTGAAAGCTGCAGAAAGTTACGAACTACTGAAAACATGGGTTTACTATGGAAACAATTAAGCAAACCCTCACAGATAACAGTTACTGAGGCTCCCATAACACATGAATTGCAGCACAAGATATAATACAATCGTATAAAATTGCATCGTGCCCATCAGTTACAAGAGTCAATCGGTGCCACGGACTGTCACCACTCTCCAGTGTCCAATGGAGAGATGACAATGGAAGGTAAGAGTCACACAGGGAACAATGACAGAACTGGAACATCTGCAGCAGCAGGGGACGGGAGCAGTCACCTGTGTGTGTCATGGACCCAGCAGGAAGAGGTTTCATTATGGGACTATAATTCTGTCCATATCAGAATGGACATGTAAACCTTCTAGCTTTGTTCCTGTGGTTTAATTATCACCTAAAGGCCAAGATGGAATTAAAGAGACATAAATCCAGTTACTGTACTGTAGTCTCAGAATCATGCATGAGCTGCTCTGTCACATACACTTCAATATCTAGGCCCAGCCAGGAAGCTGAAGAGGCATCCTTAACTTGTCAAAAGGACAAAAATGATATCGTTTGTAGTTGTGTTGGTCCCACGATATTAGAGACACAAGGTGGGTGAGGTAATATCTTTGATTGGACCAACTTCTGTTGGTGAGAGAGATGAGCTTTCGAGCTACATAGAGCTCTTCTTCAGCTCAAAAGCTTGTCTCGTACACTAACAGAAGTTGGTCCAAAAAAAGATATTACTTCACCCTCCCTGTCTCACTCTCAAAGTGACGTCAGACAGTTAACGTCTGTATTTCATGTCCTAGTCTAACAGGGTGGAGGTGTAAAACCCACTTACTCCTTACACTGTATTAACTCCGAGGTCCTTAGCACCAGTGTAGGCAGAGGTGCTGTGGTTCCTCCATCCTGAACCTTTTATTAAGATTCTTCATTATAGCAGCAATGACCACTCTAGTTAATGAGGAAGAAAGGTTTCTATTCTAACCCACTTTTCAATCACTCATACATGTCTCAACATTTTGCCTTTTGTCATGAAAATCTCCAGGCTTGGTCTCTGGCTGAAAGTGGTTTCTCTTCTTTTCAAAATGTGAGCAAACACTGTTCGGCCACTTTTCAAATCAAAGAGTGACTAAAACCTTTGTAGCTGAAATGCCAGCAGGTAGATGTTGAAATCTGACAAGGTTATCGTTGTCATTAAAAAGAAATCGTTTGGAGAGCTCTAGCAATAACTGGTTTCAACTTGGTTGAGTTAGGACCCTTTCAAAACTACATGCAATGCGTGTACAGTGCATTTGTACTGCTAAGCTCATGAAGCGTGTAGCTAAGGCCAGACAGTACACACAGCTAACTCAGCCATGCACTTTACAAGGTGTGCATGGACAGAGGCAAAGGGTCCACAGAGCCCTGCAAACCTTAGCCCAGTGGCTCTCCAACTTTTGTACTGGTGACCCCTTTCACACAGCAAGCCTCTGAGTGCAACCCCCCTTATAAATTAAAAACACTTTTTTATGTATTTAACACCATTATAAATGCTGGAGGCAAAGCAGGGTTTGGGGTGGAGGTTGGCAGCTCGCGACCCCCCATGTAATAACCTCATGCCCCCCTGCCTTAGCAGGTCTCTCCCCCACAGACAGGAGCTTCTACAGCTGCTGACCTGTTAAGGAGCAGCAAAGGGAAACCCTGCTCTCGTGCTCCTTGGCAATGCCATAGCTGGGGTATAAGCCTGCCCTGCTTAGCATTATTTAAGGTTAGACGGGAGACGGCTCTCTGCTTAATACCTTATCAAATGATTGGCACAGGCATTCTGGCAGTATTTAGCTAAACTGTCAGGATTATGGCATTTTTGTCTATCATTTCGCCTTAAAAAAAAATATCCTAGGAAGTTCCACTAAGTACTACATTAGGGGAATCGAAGGGTTGCACAGTTAACGTTCAAGGGTCAGGAGCTGCCAGCCTGAAGGTCACATGTGTAACTTTCCCTCGACCCCCTTGTACACATGCATTATGGTCACGCTCTCATATACAACATACAGTTTTCTCCTACGACCTTAAATATCTGCATACCCTCTTTTACTACTATGGTACTAGCCTCATAATACCAAACAAAGCCCATTTCAGCCCTTTAGCTGAAGAGTATCAAACTGCACATAATACTGGATGTTCCCTTGTAAATGCAGAAGGACACCTCACTTTACAGCTAAGGCTGGGCTACACTTCCAAGTTTAATAATATAACTGTTCTAGGTAGAGATGTGATTTTCCCCCCCATTCTCTTTCTATTTTTTTAACTGAAATGGCTATACTGGTAAAAGCCCTAGTTATATCAGTATAAAGGTGCCTTAGATTGTGATAGTTATTCTTCCTCTTGTACAGGAATACCTATTATCAATATAAAGCATCTTTATACCAATGTAAGTGTGTCCATGCTGGGGTGTTGCGTTTGTACTACTTTCATGACATCAGTATAGTTAATGCAGGACAACCTTCTAGCATAAATAAGGCCTCACTTTTGTAGATAACTGCCTCCTCTCCCAAACTGCATCTACACAGAGAGGCATTAAGGATTGAAAACAAAATGTGCAGTGCATGTCTGCTGACCACATTTAATATACCTTAGAGACAAGAACGAGGAGTCCTTGTGGCACCTTAGAGACTGAGGCCTGGTCTACATAAGTTACGCAACTTCAACTATGTGAATAACGTAGCTGAAGTTGACATACTTAGATCGACTTACCGTGGTGTCTTCACCGCAGTGAGTCAACTCTGCCTGCGCCTCTCGTGGCGGTGGAGTACAGGAGTCGACGGGAGAGCGCTCGGGGATCGATTTATCGCATCTACACTAGACGCGATAAATCGACCCCTGCTGGATCGATCGCTGCCCGCC